GAGGCCAAGAATCCATTGGAGGGAACATGAAAGCGCTAAGGCCGTTTTACAGAGTGGGGTGTCAGAATGTTATGTTGTGCTACAGGATATTCATGTGTTCGTGTGGTCATTTGTCAGATAGTTTCTTGAACACCTTTTATGTAGCAGGCACTATTTTAGGTGGTTGGCAATATCGTGATGAACAAGCACATTTCCGGCTTTTGTTGAACTTAAATTCCAGTTTACGAGGTAGATGTTACCAAGTGATGTTTTAAAAAAATTAAAAATCATATATGTATCAAATATTGGAAAGGGGATGCAGGAGATTAAGTGCAGACATGAATACTAAATCTCCATCTTTCATTAGAAGAATCAATTCAAATGTCTAACTGCATTGTTTAATGGTAGAAGTGCCCTACTCTGGGGCAATCATGGTGGAAATGTTTTGTGTCTATCTGTGCAGGTGTTAGCTACAAAGGACTTTTGGGAACTTGAAATGTGGCTCATGTGACTGAGGAACTGTAATTTTATGTAATTTTAATTAATTTAAACTTAAATCATGACATGTGCCTAGTAACTTCTGTGTTGGATAGCACAGGATTAAAATGAATGAATTAAGAGGTAGCAGCATTGTTTTAGAACTAAACAGAAAACCTATTAATCAGTTGCCTGTGGGTGGGTGAGGGATTGAAAGGGAAAAATCTCATCACGAGCCATCTTGCACTGTTTGATTTTCTACTACATGCATATATTTGGTTGATTACTACTTAAACTTTTGGAAGACTAGATTGCAACCAAATGGGTCTTTGAAGGGGAGTAGAGAATCATTAAAGTGAGATAAAAGTTATACTTGAAATGTAAGTCCAAATGAATAATTTGGCAAGAATCAGGGGTCTAAGCTTCAAACAATTCTTGTCAGCAGGGGACCTTCATAGGGAGTTTCATCATTTGTCTTGAGGTGGCTAATAAGGTAAATTGTGGTCAGTGAGGTAAATACTCTGGCTACAGGAAAACCAAAAGCTGAAAAATTTGAAATATATCCCTAGCATTATGGAGGTGTGACAATTGGCACACGCTAAAAATGTGGATCTACGTCTCCAACTTATCTTCACAAAGCTGTGCTCCAATATAAATCAGAAATATTTATTTATTGCTATACTAGTGGTTGAACCCATGGGTTCTCTACCAGTGAACTATATCCTTTTTATTTATTTTTTAAAATTTTAAGACAGGGTCTCACTAACTTGTCCAAGGTAGCCTCAGAATCTTGTGATCTTCCTACTTCAGCCTCCTTATCACTGGAACTATAGGAATGAACTACCAGGCCCAGCCAAGTCATCAATATTAAACCATCACCCAAGCTCAACTGGCATTCATTGTGCTCAAACTTAGCTTACATTTGAAGATAAGAAAATATTTGTAATTACCTTTCAATTCAATAAACTTTTGTTCTTGGGTAATTTTTGCTGTGTTCTATTGATTGGATATATAGCCAACTTACGGCTATATATCCAAATTTTTATTTAGGGGTAGGGGATGTAGAAGCTGCATAGCAATCTTTGTTAAGAATAGAGGAGTGAGGGCCACACTTCCTAGACATGGTACAGTGGGTATTGGCTTCAAATTTTTTATAAACTGTTGCTAATTTTAACAACTTGTTTAAAAGATTTTGAATGAAGGAGGAGTAGGTAGGGATAGGAAGCTGAGGAGGTTTTTCCTAGGAAGCTGTTGGAGTGAAGCATTTAAGATGTTTCAACAGAACACTCACTACTTGTGAAAAGTCATGTCATTGTTCAACTATGGGTTCAAGTAAACCCAGAGCAGCTACATCAAGCTACATTATGGGGAAGGAGCAGAATGATTTTTTTTTAAACTGCAATGTAGAGAAAATCTATTGTGATTTAGGTGATAGCAGCACCAAGGAGCCACTACTAATATTCTGTATCACTTATTCTTACAGTAGAGATGTAAATGGGCATGTTCTGGATTTGCTTCATGTTATACAAGAAATATTAAGTTATAACTGCAGATGCATGTGGCCCAGTGGCTGAATAAAACTGAAGAACGGGTCTGCTTCAGTTGCAGTAGCTGTATGTATTTGCTATCTGGAGATGGCAATTCCTTGAGGGAAGAATGTATTTATTGAAAAGAAGATATTCTTGATACTAGTAGGCTAATATATAAAAGCACAGTTTATATTCTTTGAAATGAAATGATTATAGGCCCAAATCCAAACTCACCAAATGGAAACAAAGGGATGTGTTGGGGGTGGAGGGAGTACACTCTGTTTTTACAGGTTTTCACATGACTTTCCTTTTAAAAAGTGCATGGAATGCATCCAAAACAAATAATGTTTTGTTAGATGAGAAGACCAAAAGGAAAAACCTAAAGAAAGGAGGATGGATGATCTTTCTTTAATGTCAAAACTGACATAAACACTCCCCTCCCCCCACCCTTTTGCTCAAGATAATTTTCTCAACAAGACGCAGATTGCTTCAGTCTTTGCCTATCACCCTTTGAAGCACTTTCCTTATTATTAGCAGTGGGGGCAGGGTTTCCTTTGAGGATTTTTACAGCAGTGAAGAGTTCCTCCTTTAAATACTTTCACATGATGAGGGAATTCCGCTTTCAAAGTGCTGTCATCACTGTGGCTTCTCTGCCATAAGACAATTTATTCTTGGGCGAAGGTCCTTCTTAGCTTGATTGTCATTAAGGACTTACCTTTCTGATGGATTCTCTTTCCACAGACTTTGGCTTTTTTCTGAGGGACCTAGCAAAGCAACTCGCCAGTCTCCTTTGTTAACCTTACTGGTTAAGTTAGCTCCGATTTTTCCCCCCCAAAATATGTTCCATCACTGGGGATTATAGTCTTCAACATGGTTTCTCCTGTCAGTCTCCAGTGATCAAGATTTGGGTGACAAATCGAATATTGCATATGAGAGCTGCATTTCTTCCACAGTGCAAAAGGACACTGTGAATTGGAGGAGTTTTGAAATGTCTTTATTGATTTTTGTTTTCATTATTTTTAATTCCTCTTTCAATGAAATAATTCCATGTTAAACAACAACAACAAAAACAAAAACAAAAAAACATTCAAGTATTAGTAGTTCCCCAGGAACACTGAGGTCTATTTTTTAATACAGTTTCCTGGAACAAATTTGTAAATATTTAATTCAGGTAGACAAAATACATAGCTCATTTGAAAGAAGTCTCTTCCCTTCCAAATCTTTAGTGGACAAGTATTCAAAATTATTAGGAGAGAAATAGAATTAGGAAACTCTAGATACAATTGGCGGTTTTCTCAATGCTACTGCTGAATGGTGAGTTTCTAAGTCTTTGTGGTTATTTTAGGTAAATGAATAAAAAATTATGTATGTCTCAAAGTAGATTGCATTATTTACATCATTACTCTTAGACTTTCCCTTTGAGTAGTTTAGCCATTAGAAAGTGAGAGAATAGGTATTGTTTTGGGTGTATTCATTATCTGCTTTAGTGTCTCAGAAGTGAAACAATCAACTAAGCCAGACAGGAGGGTAAAGATTTCTTACAGTCTTCAGCCTCCTAGCTACTAGAGTGCTTAAATTGAAGACCTCTCAGGCTTTTATTAAGGAAGAAAGTGGAATCTAAAGACAGTCTGAAAGCCAAATGCTCAGATTCTAGTTTTGGCTCTGCTGCTTAATGCCTGTATAGCTTAGATAAGTAACTTACTCTTCTGCTCTCAGAAGAGTAAGTTAATAAGGCTACTTTAAATGTATATGTGTACACATATACATGTGTGTGTGTGTGTGTCTATTTTGAATGCACCTATTTTGAATTCAAAAATAGGGGGAAATGTATGTGTGTGTATACACGTATGCACACACACGTGCACAAAGATAACTTTACAGTAAATTTAAAACAAATTACTCTTCTCTCTGTTTACTACTGAATCAATTGTGCCCCCCCCAAAAAAAATGATTTAGACCATGGAAGGTTAAAAAAGAAAGAACACAGTGCAAAAGGACACTGTGAATTGGGGGAGTTAATAGATAAATGGCTTTAATTTTCAGTGTCCCTAAATATCACCACTAACACTTGTCTTCATGAGCAATTGACACTTCTGTCATTGAACAAAGATACCCAAATATATCAAAACAATCATTGTAAACCAAATTCTATAGCTTAGAGTTTATTTAGGAAATAGGCAGAAATAACTTTTTAAAAAATGATACTGACACTTGGCGTAACTAATTTTTAAATGTTAAGAGTCTAGAAGTTTAAGGTTTTTCCTGTTTTTTTTGTAGCAACCTTGAGCTATAATCAAGGAGTTGGAAAGTTTAAATTTGTGGTGTTCTATCTAGCCCCGACTGTGAGGACTATACTCTTGTATAGAGGGGGATGGGGAGCTTGGGCCAGTTTCTTATAAAAACTTGGCATGAGCTAATTTGTTTTTTATTTTTTTGAAACTGGAAATGATATTGTTGAAGTTTGCATTCTGTTGCTCTATGAATTTCTCCTATAAAGTGAGCAAGCCTGTTCCCAAAGAACATAAGTCATGCTCCAGATACACCTTGCCCTGGGAAATTTGATCCAAATGGTTATTCATCTTTTTATACTTTAATCATCCAAAAAAGTACTAAAAAAAATCCAGACCGATTAACTGATTATGCACAGTGTCATAATGGAAGATAAATAGTGCTTCAGGGTTATGCCAGTGACTCTGGAGACAAAAGAAAGAATGGGGACAAAGAACTTTCAAAATTTGGGAAAACTATTGGATGGCCTAATAATGTCTCATGAGACATCAAACTCCAATGCAACTATAAGTTGGATGTGAGAAAAGGATTAGTCTTAAAAAAATAATTGTGTCTTGCAAAATATACTTCAGCTTTTGACTTTTTTTTTTCAAGTTGAAAAAGTTAAGCATAAGTCATATTGTAAGTATTGACATTATTTGCTTAGTACTTATTTAAAATTGCATTCTAATCCACAAATGTATCTCTCTCTTTTCTGTTTCTGTTTCTTATGCCTGCTCCACCCAGGTTGGCCTTCCTTCCATGATGTGATCAGTTCTGAGGCCATCACGTTCACAGATGACTTTTCCTATGGGATGCACAGGGTGGAAACAAGCTGCTCTCAGGTTAGTTAACCCCACCTGACAACCCAATAGGCCACTCACTTGACATTGATAACACTTTCAAGACTCTTGTTTGTACTAAATACAGCAACCAATGTCAAGCAACTATTCACAAGTGGAACAGACAAGCACAATGAAGTCTTTTTAAATTTTGAATGATACCTCAGTCAGTCTTCAGGTGTTTTGCAAGTCTGATGAAATATTGATCTTTAGCTTTAACACTATTAAACAAAATCATTGGCAAGACAAAAATCCCTTCATTTTACTCAATGTAGGGGGGAGTGAGCTATTCTCTAGGTAGGTATATGAAAATTTCATTTTGTGGCCTGGTAGAACTTAGTGTTTTGATAATCTTCTCTCTCAAGTTCATCATTCATTCGTAGTGCCTTTAATGTCTGTGATCCAAACACAGTCAATGAAGACCCCAGAAATGGCTTTTCTTGAGTGGGTATTAGGAGGGAAATTGCAGAGAAGCTGTAGAAGTGGAAGTTCAGTGGTAGGCTAGTTGAGGACAGAGTAGCATGCCTCTCCTAGTATGTTGACATCCTCATTTCCAAGGAGGTTCTCATCAATACTGTCCATTCCTTTCTAGCCAAATTAATGCTGGCTCTAAGGGAGAAAATGAGCATGTTTCGAGAAGGAAGCAAGAGTAGTTAATTTGTTCAGAGACCTAAACTTGTTGATATTTTGCACCTAAACCCAGAAATATAGCTAGAACTTCCATGTATACAGAATAAGAGTAACTGCATATCCTATGATAGGCAGGCCTTCTCTTCTAATCTGTTTTAAATAATAAAATATACAGTCCGATTGTGGCATGGACATTCATTGATACTACAAAGGGATTTGTTGGGAAATGTCTATAAACAGTTCAGCGGTAAAGGGGGTACAATCAGGAGGCTGCAATAGCAAAGTGATTGTGACAAGGACCTCCCTCAGTATTCGTCTACTTACCCTTTATCCATTTTTTTCAACCCCCTTATCAAGCACAAGATTTTTAGGGAGTAGGTATTTACCAATTAGGGAGGGAGATTGGTTTGAACTTGACCACATGATGAAATTCTGTTTTCAATTTTGTAAATAAAAAATAATGCTGGTAATTTTACTGTCTTATAGTTATGGGGTTCACTCTCTCCCTTGAAAGATAGATTACGTATCACATTTTTTTATACCCTCATATCTCAGAAATGAGTCTCTGAACATGGTAGTGGGACTTTCTGATGCAGGCTTCATCCCCAGCCACTCTGAATTAATTGGGCTAGGTGTAGCCTGCACCACTGCATTTAAAAACCTCCCCCATGTAATACACTCAATAACCTAATGAGCTAGGTACTGCTATTCTCTCTTATTACATAGTAGATGAAACTGAGTCACAAAGAGGGCAACTGAACTTTTGTAAACTTACGCAGATTTAAGTAGCAGAAGTGAAACTTCAGTGCAAGGCAGTCTGAATCCAAAGCTTTATATGAGAGACAATGGAATGAGGGTAATGTTACTGGAAAGAGCCGTATTAGGGTTGAGGATGAAGCTCAATGGTAGAATACTTGACTAGTGTTCACAAGGCCCTGGGTTTGATATCCAGCAACACACGTATTCACACACACAAACACACACACACACACACACACACAAATAATAATAATAATAATAATAAATTAAATGAAAAATCCCATTATTTTCCTGTAGTTGTTTTAATGCAATTCAGTTTTGAGATTAATTTAATTATAATTGATGATTTTATAAATGTCACCAAAAAATTAAGACTACCCAAGCATCTAGAATTTTTGACAAAAGGAAAGTGTAGACAGGCTGGTGCACAGGAATTTGTAGTTTAAATACATAGTACTTAGTAAATCTTTAAAAATAGTTTTTTTCTTTTAAGCTGCTCTATGACTGTGTCTTTCCTTTTCACTCACAACCCATTTTCAAACAATGAGTCCTATGAAAACAAGATTAAAAAGCACAGAAAAAGTGAGGTGAGGTATATGTTATTCATTTTCCTTAAGGCTCTACTTTCTTATTTTTTTGGTAACTAATTCTTAGAATTCAGTTGAAATAAACTTCCTTTTTTCCCTATGACAGCTCCAGATATCAATCAACAGTAATTAAGAAAAGATCATTCTTGAATGTGTCTTACAGTGACCAAAGAGGAATAAAACCCACAGGCAATGCCAAGATTAGGTGACATTCATGAGAGATATTCTGGCCCTCTGCACAAAGACTAAGTCTTTGGGTTCTTTCCTAAGGGTTGTATGAAGACCTAATATTGACCTGTTCCCTTATGGCTTTTTATCTACCATCTTCACTTTTCATATTTAGAAAGTGTTAAACTCTTTCTTAAATAAAAGTTCTAAATTTAAAAAAGAGAGAGAGAAAAACGTATTCCACTAAGGCATGTATGAAAGTACATGCTTTGCAGTGAGCTCCTGTAGGAGATTATTGGGTTCCAGCACTACAGACCCATAGGCTTGCTGGTTCTTTCTGTGTAAGCAGAACCCAGGATGTCTGCCCCTAACAATTCAGCCCACTAAATTGAAGCATGCTGGTGATTCTACTTTAATTTTTTTGTCATCTAATTTGTGTGTTTTGGATACATTTATTTTCCTTTTATTGTTTTTTCTTTTCCTTTTTCTCATAAATCCCTTTTACCTTGACTTAAAAAAATAACTGATGTAATAGTTGTAATATGTAATATATGTAATATGTTATAGTTATTACTATAACTGATGTAATAGTTCCCATGCTAGAGCAACCATTTGTGTTTTGCTTCCTACTTTCTCATTCTTAACATTATTTTTCATTTACTGGCTACTCTTTTTTTTTTTTTTACCTTTTCCCCCCCAGTTTAAATTGTCTCTTCTTATCACATCTTCCTCCTTTTTTGTGGAGAAGGGTAGTTTTTGTTTTTGCTGGTGAGAGAGTGTGGGAAGTTTCTCCTGGTTTGCTTTTTCCTTTTCCAAAATTCTTGTTTTCTCTTCTCTGGGGTGAATTGAATTAATGTAGTTTGTGTTGTGAGGAGTTTGTTAGATGCTTTTAGTATCTTACAGACATTCTCAGTTGAGCATGTTATGTGGAATACTTCTTCCTTTGGGGTAAAGGTGGAATATCTAAATATAAAGACCCTTTTACTGCCAACACAAATAAGCTGAGTTTCCATTGAATGGAACCAGTAGATTCAACCTGCCTGCCTGCAATACGGTCTATGGGTTCCTAATTCTTGTTTTAGTATTAGGACTCTTATTATTTTTTTAATTGTGGTATAATCATATCATGAATGCAATTAATTAGGCCTCATATTTGGGTAGGACTTACAGACAAGTTGGGAGCCTGTAGCCTACCACATTTATAGTACATTGTAGTTTTTCCATATGTTCAGTGACTTCTTAGGTAATAATATTTTAATGAAGTTCTTACTGAGAGCATTAAGATTGGTTCGATCCTTATGCCACTTCTCCAAGAAATTTTGCAATTAGGTCCTTTTTACAGAGTGTTGTATAAGAAACCTGGCAAGCTGTTTGGGTTTACAGAAAATGGGCAGTGGTAGGATTCCTCCTGCTTTCATGATTGTTGTTTATGGAGGAATAGGCTGCCCTGTTGCATTTTGTTGTAGCCCTATTTGTTTCCTGTTTGCTCCTGAATTGAGGAATTGCATCCCAATTCTTTCTTCTAAAGAGGGTCTTTATCTTCAGTTTGCCTACTCTGGTGGGCATGTGTGTCTTCTCCCTGGCCAGTCATTTCCTCATGATTTCAATTATGAATAATCTTCCTTAATTTTATTTATATTTCAGCTTGTGATAAGTTAGGTTGCTTTTATTCCAGCTTCACTGACTATTGTGAATAATCAGTTGACAGCTTCTTCCTAATCTTCCAACTTCTGCCTATTAAGCAACACTTGGTCAGAAGATTAAATTCAGCACAAAGAGGCAAGATTCACATGGTCAAAGTGTAGTTGGCAAAGTAAGTCCCTCCTGGAAATACTTGGCGAATTTTTCCTTTTTCATATCAAAATTCTACATCTGGAGCAAATGGGAGAGTAATAAATCACTTAACTTTTTGTAATAATCTTTGAGGAAACCATCAGATCCTTGTGTTTGCCCAAGTTGGAGTCTGTGACAGTTCCTACTACTGCTTGAGTCTATGATTAAGTCTCTTATATTTGTTTTAGGTTATTTTTAATTTGTCCTAGGTCAGCCAAGTCAATAGAAAGGTAGATATCTACCAATACAAAGTATTTTTCAGAAGTTAAGCAGTTTTTGGTAAAACTCCAAACCTTATTAATCTTCTGCAGATGACAAATCATATATTGCTGATGATTAGAGATACCCATGTATTACCCTTGGGTTTTAGACTCAACAGTCCATCTCTCTTTTTCTGATCTTTCAGTAAAATCATAATGCCAAACTGGTGACTTCACAATCATTTCCTTGGCAAAAGATTAATATCATGAGCACAGAGGAAAAGGGCCCATACTTACACACAAGTGTCTTCAATAACAGTGGGAGAAAACAGAATACTACTGGCAAAGTAAATTTCTTTTCTTCTTAAAACTGTTTTCTCTTTCCATTTCTGCCCCATGTGCCCAAGTGTAAAAGCCCTGCTTTGAAAATGTTTCATGCTGTAGATCAAACACTTAAGAGAAAATGACAATAATAAAGCCCAAGCATCCTAGGAACAGTTAAGAGAAAGCTCTCTAGGACAGTGGGAAATACATCAGTGCAGAAATATGTAGCTGCTGAATATACTATTTGTGTTTCTCATGCACACAACTGAAAATTACAGTCAGAATTTAGATAATTATGTTAAATTTGATGCTCAATCACTTTTTTTTTTTAGGAGATCCTTTTCCATGGTTCTCTACAGGTTCTTGTTAACTCTTCTGAGTGGGAGGCTTAGATGATAAGGATTTCTGTGGGAATTAAATTTTTACTTTAAACAGTGAACTCATCCTTTTTCAGAGTGAAGTCTAGAATATTCAGGTGTGGTTTATATTTACCTGTAAAATAAAGAACTACATAACCATTAAAAACAACTTTCAAAACACACCAAAGATCCCATCCTGAAGTAAATCTTTAACAGCACGTTTCAGTTTCAGAGATTTCTTCATTGGGGAACCAGTTTGTTTCAGTTACAACCAGGTGTGCGGAGAGATCCCAACACATTGCCAGTTGGCTAGAGCTGGGAGGCAGAGCTTGCAGGAGGCTAAAGAAACAATGCATCACTGACAACTTCCATTCATCATCCCAGTCTTCGCCAGGCCTGGAAGCTGGAAAGAATGGGCTCCATGTGCATTGCCCTCAGGGAGGAGCCTTCAGGGCTTGCACACTTTTCTAAGAAACCTGGTCTTTCATGGGAGACATAAAGGGCAATGTGTGGTTAGTCTTCTTTCAAAAGACCTTGCCACTTTGCAGGCAACAGGTGGGCAGGTATGTGATTGCATAGATATAAATGACACCTGTCTACGCTTTAAAATGTTGCTCCACCCTTGGTAACCTAAGCCTGGTGTGAATCTTTCAGAACATCTTGTGACAAATATCACGAAGCCATTAGCTGTCATCACACCTTTCCTGAGAATTTCCCTACCACATCCCCAACCCATGTACTTGTTTGCAAGTGATCTTTGTTGACTTTTCAAACTGTAATTTCTTTTCCTCGCTTTTTTTTTTCCGCCTATTTTAGGGACAAATCTAAAGGCAGCGTTTTCCTTTCTGTTTAACAGAAGACTGGTTCCAGATTAACTAATGAAGCTACAGATTAAATTACTGTAGTTTGGATTTTTTAAAAATGATTTGGGAAATGAAGACTTATTTCTAAATGGCTTCAAGAATATCCTTGCTATACTTTATTTTTGGAGTAATTTAAATAGAACTGTTTTCTTAATATGCTCAAAGGATGATTAAGAAAGGAAGGCCATATAATATATTTTGCCCAGATAGCTCTGCAATCTTTCTTTAAACACATGCACACCCCCACCCTCCCATCTAAGACTTTTATGCAAGAATGTCACCTTTTAGATACCAGATGATCAAATGCCAAAGCTGTCTGAGAGATCAGTAATTGTATTCATACACTGGTCACCAAGAGCATCAGTTCCTATTGGCCCGCACACCAGCTATTTTGGCAGGCAAAAATAGGCATATTCCTATGACCATTGGGCAAGCAGATATATTCTTACTAGTGCATCTTAGCAGCTGATGCCTGAAAATTTGGCCTCAATTGTTTATAGAAAGGAAAAGCAATCTGAGCTGTCAGCTTTGATATTACCTAAACCTACATTGAATGTGGTAAAATAATGCAAGATTTGTTTTTTAGGCCTGTTTCATATTTTCCAGGCAATAGATCATATCAGTTCAGGGTTCATTTTTAGTTCTTTAATAAGCTGACACAGTATATTAGAAGAAAAATAAGAATGCACTTTTAACATGGAAATGCCATATAGTCAAAGTTACTGTTAGTGCTATTTATTAATAACTCAGGATCCCTTGAGAATTGAGTTTAGCTCTTTCAGTAGGCAGACTGAGGTTCTAGTTCTTTCCAATGTAATGAGCATCCTGCCTCATTTCTCTCTCATCATCTCCATTTAGTATCTCAGCCCCAGTCCCTTGTCAATTCATATGTTTCCTTACAATTTATAAGATTTTTATACATTGAATCAGCCCAGTGAGAAGAATTAATAAATCATGTATAGGCCTTTTCTGTCATGTTATTATCTAAATCATGACTCTACTCTCTCCTCAAAATGCTCTCCCATAGAATATCTGCTACTTTCAGGTTCTTATTCCCAGGGAGACCTGCTCTGGACTTAGATGCTTCATCGTCTTCATATCATGGTCTGTTTTTATTTTCCTTCCCTCCTTAGCATTGATTTCTACATGCTACACATTTAGTTTATAATTTTCTTGAATATTATCTGTCTTTCTCACTGGAATGTAAGCTCTTGAGGCCAGGGATTATTGCCCACACCTCCAGAGTCCAGGACAGAGCCTGGCAGATAGTAGACACCACATAATGTCTGTTAAATGAAGCAATGGAAGTCATTTACCCTAGTTTGGGTGTTTTTGTTCCATAACAGATAATGTTTTCAGGACCTATTGAGTGTGGTACACTAATATCTCCATCTTCTCCTGGCCCTGCTGAGAAAGGGTGGGAGAAGTGGCATGCTCCGTCTCCTGGAGCCATCGTCTCCTGGAGCCATCGTCAGTGTTGAGGCAGTCAGTGCTGGGCTTTAGTCAGATAGCCAGCCTTTTTTGAAAAACTTTCTGAGCTGGATTTCTTTTAAACACTATCCTAAGCAACCATCCATCCTTCTGTCTGTATGAACTCCAGGCATTTTCTCCTTCCCCAACTTTTTGAATAATCAGTGGTATTGATTTTAGCTAAAGAGTATCTTCCTTTAGCAAAACCTCCACACTGTAGTTCAGGAGATAAAGAAGCCAGCATAACGCTGCACTAATGGGAGCCAGGAAAAAATAATTGTTTGAGCTCAAGACATTTCCATTTGCTACACTTGCAGCCCTGGTGACCGTGACATAAATCTGTTGAGCCTTGCCATTGCTTCACTGGGTTCCAAGAACATCCAATGCTTGTCTGATGTTAAGTTTTACTGCCCATGAAAGCAAACATCACCTCCGTCATGGCCAGTTAAACAGTATCTTTTACAGTGGACTTCTGCATATCTAAAACCACCCACCCAAAGCAAAAAGTAGTGGCAGGGGGGAGAGATTTTATTCTGCCATGTTTCTTAAAAAGAGGAGATCAAAGGTCAATACAATTCATAAAATTACTGCAGTCGTTTTTCAGCTGGCTGAGAGACTTAGCAGATCAAAAAAATACAGTGGCTCCTAAATGATTTCTGATATGCACAATTCTAGTGTTTTTTATTCTCAGCATGTGGGGCAAAGCCTGCCAGAAACCATCTTTTTTGCGATTGACAGGCAGACTAGAAATCGTCCAGGATGCTTTCCATCATCTCTGCACGGGCTGGCCATCCATTTAAGCTGCTCGCTGTGAAAGCCTGCTTTGTGCGTACTCTCCTTTACATGTTGTTCTTCTCTTTCAGTGTGGGGCTCATCTTGGGCACATTTTTGATGATGGACCTCGTCCAACCGGCAAAAGATACTGCATAAATTCAGCTTCCTTGTCTTTCACACCTGCGGACAGCAGTGGCGCGGAAGGAGGCAGCGAGGTCAGCAGCTCAGCCCAGGCAGACAAAGCAGAGCTGTAGAGAAATGGAGAGTGATGGAAACAAAGTGTACTTAATGCACAGCTTATTAAAAAATCAAAATTGTTTATCTTAATAGATATATTTTTTCAAAAACTCTAAGGGCAGTTTTGTGCTATTTGTATTTTTCTTCTTTTGCTTAAACAGAGGCCCTTTCCATCCATGTATTTTGCTATTGACTAGATCCAGGACTGTTTATAGCTTTTGAAAATGGAGATAGCTTTGTGAAACTTCTTCATAAGTCACTTAAGTAGCCTTTGGCATTCTTTTCTTTGAGTACCTACCTTCTTTTGAGTTTTGTTGTTGTTAACTCTTGATTAAGAGGCAGAGGTTTTTGGTCTTCAGATGTGAAAGCAAAGTTCTAGCAGAGCAGGGACCAGAGCTGGGATGTGCCTGGCATTGAGACACATGGTCTTAAGGCGTTTCACAGATCTACCTACGATAAGGATGAAGGATGTCTAGGAGACTTCCCAGCTTTTTGGAAAGTCTGAGCTAAGGTCGTTTTTTTCTCACTAACAGGGTGTGAAGGTCTAAAGTCTTTCCTTATGTTAAATTGTTGCCAGATATGAGGGGGCACTCTGAGTGTTGTGGCAGAGAAGTAAACATTACCTCACTGTTAGGCCTTTATTTTATTTTATTTTCCATTGAGACCATTGGAATGCAAGACAAATGTAAAATGTTGAGTCCCATTTTGTCCAAAGTTCACAAAGAAGAACACCTGCCCATTGCCTTTTTATAAGACTTTTCTCCACACTTAATACCAACTGCAGCTGGAAGTGCATTTTGGTTAATCCCCTGCATAAAATAAAATTCTGGGACAACACACTTCATCAGGACAGCAAAATGAGAGAGATCCAGAGAAGACCAAGGATGAAGCCTTGAGTTCTCAAAAAAATCAGTACTGGCAGAAAAGCTGGCAGGATACTACAAGTAACAAACAGAACCCAAAGCAGGAACCTTGTACACAGCTTTAGGTTACCCCTGGAAAGATGCTGGGCATTAAAGTAGAAAGAACCAGGCTCATGCTCCACACTTGACCTAACTAACCTGCTGTGCAACAAGGGACAAGCCATTTAGCCTTTCTGTGCCTATTTCTTCATGTACAAACTGGGACTCACAATATTTGTAAATGTATTGACACTCTCAGGGCAAAATTACTATATTGCTATATAATTAAGATCAGTATTGTAAAGTTACACTGATCTGGTTCTAATTGCCTCAAAAACTGAAGCCTAGGCATTTGAAATATAAAGAAGCCAAGGTTAACTTAGCCGATTAGTATGGAAATGGTTGGGCCAAGAGCCAGACATTTTTCTTTATAGCAATATGGCTGGTTTTACTTTGAGAAACTTTGCTCAGCTGCTTTATAACATGTGATCTGGTGTCATTGTGCACAATAAGGTTTTCACAGGTACAAGCTGATGTTGCCATAGCCAGGTGTGAAAGTATCATGTGTGACTGACTGATATATATTGTATATGTAACTTTGGATGCTCATTCTGAAATGTCGTTTTTTAAAATATTATTTTTATAACTATTTGATAGCTTATGAAGACTGACATCTTCCTTTCATGCATCAAGAGAAAAAGAAGAAAGAGGGTCACTAGACAATTATACAGTGGGAAATGAGAATGAAAAGTTGTGACGAATCAAAATGTGAGCATCATCATGTTGGCGTACCTGCCTGACTTTAGGCATGTGAGGAAGGCCCTGTCATCCTGGTGACTCTGTGTCATCATGGATGCAATCCCAGAGGAGTCATGCTCTTAACATGCTCAGATAAGAGGCCATTGTTGTCTGACTATCCAGCTATTCCCTCAGCTATAGATATTACACCTTATACTCTGGGGTCATGCTGGAACTTACAGGCTTCACTCCCTTCTAGAAACAAAGAGTAAAATTTAACACCTGATCAGCCATTGGCATCCAGACCTTCTTAGAATCTTTCGCAACTTCATGGAGGGATGCTGAATATTTCTCAACAACAAGGATCTCATATAGGGGTAGCTGAAGAAAGAAATGGGTTTCCCATAGCCTCCCATCCATTCTCACAGGCACACAGAATTTCTCAACCACTCTAGCCATGTGTGGTGGCCTTACCCACAGGGTTGCCTGGATATGATCTACAGAGTTGGCCTAGGTGAGGAAGAAATTTGAGAGGACTGGCCTCTCCCCAGAGAATTGATTGTCATTGTTTCTTCATTTTTATAGTAGGGCATAGCATTTCCCTCAAAAACCAAATTTAAAAAAATATAAGAATAAAAATATATGTCTCTCCCAATCTTTAGGCCCCCCCCCAAGGAAAACCAGTTATTTTCCAACACTAACTTTGAAGAAAAATGCAACATCCATCAAAGGGGGGCATGGGGGAGCAGGGTGTATGCATGTGGTTTAATCCCAAATTGCTTTTGGGTTTAAGTGGTATCAAATTTCGGTATATTTCTGTCTTATGTTAAGGAAATATATTACCAAAATGTCAGTGAGCAATAATGTCAGCTGTCGAGCCCTAGATTTATTTTTGCAGGATATGGAGTGCAATGAACTGAGTCAATATGGTGAGGTGTATGTGATCTGTGGGAGGAATGCCATTTAGCATTGGAAGTGCATGGGACTTTCCCTCTCTGCCTTCCAGCTCTTGCTGCACCTTTGGAAGATGAAGGGTTTTGTTGGTGTGCAGAAAATACATCTATACAGCCATGCTGAGCAAATCTGAAGAAAACAACAGTATCTATTGTAGTAGAAAACATTTCTATGTGGCAAAAGTTTTCACTTCTTAGATGTATTTTATGTTCTTAATAAAATGACATAACAATTTGAAAATCTCTCCATGTTAATTGTGTTTAACATGTCTTGCTTTAAATATGAAAGGGATTATCATTGGTTTTGGAGGTCAAATATTATTATTGACTTAAATACCTTTGTAATAAATTTCCTTTAGACAATTCAAAACTTTTAAAAAATGAGATGAAACTTTCATTAAAAAACCCTTTTCCTATGTTTGTTGTATACAGAAATTATGTAATAAAATTTCTTTATAAAAATTTTTTTCTCTGTTTCCTAAAGATTCTGCTTATTTCCTGCACAGATGCATGGATTGTCCACTGAGGTATGCAGTAGACCGTTTACCTCCTTACCAGATTGGCAGGTTTGTCATTTGTATTGAGAGAGACTTTTTCTCTGATGAAGATTTTGAAATTTGGGACTCTGACAATTGGGTCAAGTTTGCTTGTCCTTATCCAAGGCCATGAGAAAAGCCTTCAAGAATCTGCAAGATTGGGGAAAAGGGAAACATTTGTAGAATTACTCAGATTTCATCTTACTCAGTAAAATATTTAGCAGTTGTATATGTTTTTGTGCTTAAAATATAGACTTTGGGGAGTTCCATCAGGATAACTCTATAGGTGAAAATTCAGGAATTCTATCATGCTGGTGCCTGTGTGTCTTAAAAAATTTGACAGGAAACTTTTACACAATTCTCAAAGGTTGGTCTCTAAGGAAATATGTGCAGAGTTGCCCACTGTTCACAGATTAATTTTCACCTTTAAAAGTCATCTCTACAGATGGATTTTGGCATCATAACATTTGTTGTTGAAATGCTTCATCTTTTGTTTTGTTGATTTACTTGTTTGGAAGAGGAAAAGTGGGGTGATGAAGACCCACATTGTAAGTCATATTCTTGGCATCCTAAAATGCAGGCCATCATCAATTTCACGCAGTGTACCCCAACAGAATGCTTCCTATCATGTGGTCCCCACCTGGGAACTCTAAAAATACAAATGTTCAGACCTCATCCCAGATTTCATTTTAAAACTATGGGTTAACAGGATGTGTTTAGCAAGTCCTCCCTGTTACTGTGATGCTTGTTCAAGACAGAGAAGCACTGTGTTGAAATTTTGAGTGAGAACAATTAGTATCTATTTTAAAAACATTTAATATGACTCTCAAAAATGGGCCTGTTTTGTCCTTACCTGGTTATCCTTCTGTTGGGTTAGGTTTTCCCAAAGCTTGATTCCTTTCAGCTCTTTTCACCCTCTACCGCCCACTTACCTTGTTCTGGGGGTCTGTCTGTCCTCATCTGAATGGAACCTGATCTTCCCAGTGGAGCTAAGCAGGGCCTTTCTAGAACTGTGAGATGTCCATGACAGTGTTTCCTCCTGTAATTCCAAGAATTAGGGAACAAATCTCAGTGTGTTAATTTGTAAATTATTTTTTTCATCTCTTCTATTTTTTTGCACCTGTAACTTTCATCATCTTCATCATCATGTTTTTTTTAACCCTTCAAGAGATTTCTATGAAGGTGCCAAGGTGCCATATGCCAGAATCTTGACTTCAGTTTTTTTTTTCTCAGAAAACTGCCATTATCACCCATATCTTAACAACGAAATGACTTCTGGAAGATACTAGCATACAAAATGTTTGAATTAAAAAACTGTTCATGGAACAGGCCCACAAGCACCCCATACCAACTTCCAAGCTAGTGTTCATTGTGCTCCATTACTGGTGGAAACTCCACCACTTTGATGTGGGGCCTGCAAAGTTGCTCTGTGCCATGGAGAATATTCTGGCAGGAATTCATCCCATCTGCTTGCTCCCAGAGGCTATATCAACCCTGAGAGGTATTAGCTGAAAGATAGTTAAACCAAGCAGCTCTACCCACTACCCTGAAAGGCTGTGAGTGAGGAGCACTATGGAACCCTCATGGGATAAGGCCATGGTGATTTGAGATTTGGAGCCAAACCAGATCCTCAGCCCACATGAGTTTTTAGTGTGATTACAGATGTTGCTCTCTTGTCAGATTTTGTAGGCCAGGAAGCCTTGTTTTTATCTTAAGGGTTCAACCCCTGTCCTGCAACCTTAGTATCATTAGGTTGGGCAGGCACCTGGAATTTTCAGAAATAACCAGAAGGGCAAGTCATTTAGGAATTAATAAATAATTACTAAATTACTAATTTAGTTCAGCACTAAAATGACAAGACAAAGATGTAGAAATCTATTTGAAAGCAAAGTAAGAGAGGTTATGTATATTAACCCAAGAAGAAGTTGTAAGAGTTAAGATGTAGTTGCCTGAAGTTTTATTCCCAAGGCCTTCTATATTACCACGGGGTTTCTTTTCACCTTAATGATATTGTATATTAAATAATCTCTATAAATCAGGCACTTGATCCATTAATGTGAAGTATGTGGTCTTATCAACAGTCTATAGATGGTGGCGCTAAAGCTCAAAACAGTGAAGACAAGTTAGAGTACTAGCAATACATGGTGGAGCTCCAAGTTCAGGAGACCTCAAAGGCTGTGCTCCCTATTCCACACTCAACTGCTCCAGCATAGGTCCCTGGCTCTTTGTAGTTTTCAGTGTCTGTGGGCTTTAATTTGGGGCTTTCACCTGGGGGAAATTTCTAAATCATTTCATTTTAAGTTAATTGGAATTTCTCCTTCTAAAATATATTCTGCAATGTTATTTTTTTTTTCCCAGAGAGGGCTAATTAAGCATGTAGGTATATCTTGGTATTTACACTTTGATGATGAAGAATTTCATTTTTCCCCCTAAGGGCTAGCTTTAATAGTCCTCATAAAAGTACCACAAGAGAGGAAATAAGACATATTTTGGACTTAGATGGGAAAAAAAAAAAGTAAGGGTGATACTGAAGATGCATTTGACCAAAACATCCAGTTTGGGGCAGAGCTGATCCAGTGACTCTTTCCTCATTTAGGAAACTACAGAGCCTAGGTGGTGGGGTGGAAGCTAGGTGTCTTTACAGATGTCCCTAAGTCAGTGAAGAATGAAGGAGAGGGACAGATCCCTGAGGGCTCTAACCACACCCAGAGCATGTCTGTGGGGCATATGATGGGCCTATCCCAGGATCTGATGGAATAAAGAGGGTTGTTTCTGTTTGATTACAATTCATGACAGATTGATAACTGCAAAGGCATTCAAACTTGGGGTCTTGCCCCCCCTTCTCTTTAACACTACGGCATGTAGGGCCAGTCAGGCATCTGGTGTTTGTTAGATGGCTGTGTTGCATCATCCTCATGATTGCTGGGGAACATCTCCTAGCATTCAAGCGATTGGAGAGAAGACCACAGGGCCCAAAATGGCCTCATCCGGTTTACATCTTTATTACTGTGCTTCTCACATACCTGCTTACATCTGGAAAAAATCTCCAGGTAAACCTCTTGGGCTCTTTCTCTAAAGAGTAACTGTAATTATTAGGGCTATGCCCAAATTCAGCTTAGAATAGGTATGTGGCTGAACTTCAGCCAAAATCCTGTGCCTGACGAAAAGAGATTTTCCTTTTTTACATCCAATTACATAGGCGGGTCCTTTTCCTCACACATGGCCACTGGGGTTCCTCATCTCTTGCCCATGGCTTCTATTTGTGCCCTGAGGAAAAGGCAAGAAGACTGCAGGGAGCAAACTAATTCTCAAGACCGCTTCATATCTTCACCAGTGTGTTTCTCTGGATACCAAGTCCTAGAATTCTAATATGGACTGGAGAACTTGTCAAAATTTTACAAATGCTGAGCGTTTTCTCTACTAGGTATTTCCTCAGACTTTACCTGGCCAAGTGCATCCAAACAAATTAAAACAAAACCCCCAAATTTTGCAAACAAAACCTACTGCTGTCTTTATTGTTTTCTGCTTATTTGTCTGTCCAAGGTTTATGTACTCAGCACACATTTATTGAGCACTTACTAGAGTGCCAGGTGCTGTGCTAGGCACAGGATGCCTCACGGAGTAAAACTCATCCATGTGGTTGTCCGGGTAAACAGGCATGTGGCTAAGTGCACAAAATACTGGCACGTTATACCAGGTTAAATAGCAGTGTCAATTAACGTAATGAGAAATCAGTTGGGAAAAGTGAATGATCCCCCTACGAAATGGAGAGAGTGGCAAAGAAGACTTCACTTACAGAACAGAAGAGGAGTCTTGGAAAGTATGTTCCCTTTCATGTAGAAAGGAACAAGATAAGGTGATTCAAGAAAACAGGGGCTGGTAACTATGAAAAAGTTATTTGGTTAAGTTTTCCAAGATCACAAGATACTTTTTCATTGCCTTCCCTGTCCTTTTTACATCTATCCTTAGTAAAAATTTATATTTATATATAAAAATAGTTAGACATATAAATAAGTCATAAGGATTTACATATAAATAATTTATATATTTTGTTATCTATATATTTATTAAATTTATAAATTGAGAGGGAGAGAAGGGGGGGAGAGAAAGGAAGAAGAGGACCTTCGAGAGAGCCTTTGTCAGTCACTTCTTTTCTGTGTTCCGCACATCTGAGGAGAGGGCAACCTCTGCAGGATCTTTCATATCTGTGCCCACCTTAGTCCCTCTTCCTCTGCCCCCAGGGCAGCCCATCCTGAGCTTATTGGGGCTACTCCAACAATTGCCAACCTGGCTTCCAGTCTCCAGGCTCTTTCTTCCTCCAGAGTGCAGCCAGTGATCTTGTGAAAGCATGCATCTGGTCATCTGGCTGCATGCACTATGGGAGGTGGTGCGAACACCTGTAGGGAGCCCACAAAGGCCCTTCACAATCTGGCTACAACCTGCCCTTTCCAGTCTCATCTCTCAGCACCTCTGGCCAGGTGTGAGGTGATAGTTCACTGTGGTTTTAATTCGAATTTCCCTAATGATTAGCGATGTTGAGCACTTCTCTTCATATATCTGTTGGCCATTTGTATGTCTTCTTTTGAGATATGTCTGTTCAGATCCCTTGCCTGTTTTGAATTGTTTTCTTTGCATAGAGTTGTTTGAATTCCTTATATATTTGGGATATTAACCCTCATAATCTGTAGGCTGTCTCTTCATTTGG